CTGGCCTTGGCATCTCCCTCAGCAGCGACCTGTAGGGAGTAGTAATTCCCTTTGGGCGGAGTTGTCCGCGTTGGTTTAGATCAGTGTAGTCCCGTGGGTGACAGCTGGAATGACGCCTTAGCCCAGGGTCGAGGTTTCTGGCGGATGGGGTGGTTTGCTGTTACGTGCTTTGCCTCCGGGAGGGAGGTTTAGCAGGCAACTGCAGGGACCTCGGCCCGAGGGGTCCCCAAAGGTGGCCCAGTCCTGCAGAAATTGAGGTGCACATCTGCGTGTGATCCTTTACAAACTGTAGCGGTGTTGGGCATTTTCTTACTCAGATCTAATCCCCATGCAAAATTATGATGCACCTACGTACGGATTTTACAGGTTTTAGTAGCGGATACGCATATCTGACGGTAGAATTTGATTTACAAATACAAAAATTTTCTTGAGGTGGTGATGCCCAAAACAACGGCAATATTTACCTACACTAAAGCATTTTATAGTATTTGCTATATTTGTAATGGAAAACTGCAAATATTTGTGGCAGAGGTACAGATCCTGACTGGTAGATGCATGTTTTCTAAAGGTAATAAAGTTATAGTGTAAGCTAAAGTAATATAAGTGGTACCGAGTGCTTATTTGTTTATTTATGTTTCTTGTTCACTGATCCCAAATGCTATCCTTGGAACTCTTCAAACAGCTGATCTACGTTCAAGTGAGATGAACAGGCTGCTAAAGCCACAAATGTACATGGTTCTGTAGACTTTAATAAAATATACTAAATTAAATACATGTTTCTTAGGCAAGGTTCTTCTAAATCCCAGTTACATTTTGCTTTTTGCCTTTTTTTTTTTTTTTGTCTGTTCTTCAGTCTCTTTTAGAACCTTTATCCTCCCTAACAGGTACAATGCTTTGAAACATATTTCATTAATATGGGAGTCAATGAAAAAACAGCATCTACAGAGAGGGCTCTGTGAGTTTATTTTATGCCATGCAACTCTGCATATAGTCAAGAGCTTGCAATTACACCTCTCTGGCAAGGGCTGTCTTCTCAGTAGAGTGCCAGGCACGCTGTTGTTGCTAACAAGTGCGTGGTAGTAATCACTGTACGTAGTCCTTTTGGACTCTGCCAGTGCCGCTCCTTAATCAGCTGCAGAGCTTGCTCAATGGCCATTTCTTTCCCTTCCTGGATCCTCAGCCTGATGGCTGCACAGTGGTGGAAAATACTTAGAAAGTTGCACTGGAAGATACAGAGTAAATAAGAGAAAACGCGTTCGTAACTTATTAAAAAAAAAAAAAAAAAAAAAAAAAGAGATCAATAACTGTACCTCATGCAAGCTTACCATGGCTTCCGAATTGAAGTTTAATCACAGAGCTTAATTCCAGAACTGATGTCAAGACTTTTAGAAGCAGGTGAGAAGTGCTGCACTCCCCAAACAGTAAGGCTTTGAGACAAGCGATGCAGAAACGGTGTGAGCAGTGAATGCTTCTGTCTATGAAATGGCTGCAGGGACCATGGGCTGTCATGTTCTCAGATTATGCCCCTTCTCCAACATGTAAATGTCAGCACAGTTTTAGTCCAGCCGTGTTTGTCATCCTCCTCTCCATCAGTCAGCAGGCTATAGGAAACTGTGTATGTGGAAATGAGGAGGAGGAGAGCAAGGGCTGCTTGGCTGTTGCAGCTCAGATTATCCTGTACTCCAGGGGTCTTTCATACACATCTGATTGGGAACATAGGAATTAGCCCTGTGAAAGCTCTTATATTTGACTTCTCCAGGCAAATGAACATCCTTTCTCCCTCACCAAACCATATTTTGGAAAACAGTAATGCTGCTTTTTGTACCTGAGTGCTCTCCTGCAAGGTGAATAGAGTATTCAAAGTATATGTGACGTCAGTGCCTCCATGATGCACGTGCCACAGGGCTCCATGCTTCAGGAGGCCTTAAGTCAAGGCAGTGTTGATTTTTATCAATAGCTTATGGTAAATGCTGCATATTTTGTAGTCATTCAAATGCTTGTGGAACCTAAAAGCCTTAATTTATTTTCTATATTCAGAATTGAAAATGTCTGAAGACATAGGTGATGGCATCCCATCTGAAGACAAGCCTGAAGTAATGGAAAAGCTCAGCAGTGAGGCATTGCCTCATGAGTCAGTTCAACACCTCATGGCAGCTGAGATCTTGCATGAGTCTTCACATGACGAACACGGACAGACCACTCGGAGTGCCAGTAATGGACAGGAAGGAGGCATATTTATTAATGAAAACCCTTTGACTGAAAAAATAGTTGAAAGTCTGCCTTCCAGTGGAGAGGCGACTGAAGACGTGTCCACTGAGTGCAATGAGACCGTAAGCCTTGATGCAGAACCTGAATCTGAAGAAACACTGTGTGAACAAAGCAGTCCAGTAAGTAATACTTTCTTTTCCATAAAATCCCTCCCCTTCCTGCTTTGTAAGGACAGAATTTTGTACAATGTGCATACTGTTTTTCACAAAAGCCTAGGGACATACATACAGAGGACGTACATGGGAATAAAATAAGTTAAACTGCAACACCAAGCATTTGGAAACTAGGAACAGTTGAATTGCTCTTTACCAGTACGATATCAATTTGGTCTTTCTAGCCTGGTTGCAATAAAACTATACCAGAGCCTAAATCTTATTAAGACTCTAGCCCATTTTGTATAGATGTAATACTCCTGTGATTTTGTTATCTGGCTTTCTGTACAAATCTGCTTCATTCAGTTCACAGAATGAACCCAGAAGAGGACAGAGTCGAAGCTGCATATGCAGCACTGAATCTCGTACTTGCTAATTTTCAGGTCATTGACTTTACAAAACCAATGTATGTTTCACAAGGCTCAGTGAAACAGAGAGTAGTTTGTCATTTGTTCTAGGCCAGTGGTGTTCGATTTGTGATCTGCAGACCCTCGGGAGTCCTGTGAGTAATTGCAAGAAGCTGGTAAAAGAAAACTAAACAAGGCTTTTTTACGGTCTACACAGCATCCAAATCCAGTACACGTGACATAGCTGAAGATGTTCTCATCTCCACTGAAAAAATTTCAGGCACCCACAAATTGGAAAAGGTTAAAACACATTGGTTTTGCTCCTCCACCAGTGAGAGGGACCTACCTAGAGGAGGTGATGGGGGACCTGTACACTGCACAATGCAGAGCTGCCTTGGGATACTTCAGCTTTTGGTTTTGAGTTGATTGTGTAGGGATGATATGTTACTGGAGACTTTTGTGAGACAACAGTTTCTTAATATGATTTAAATATGGAATACTGGTGATTGCTTAATACCACTCATTAATGTAAAAGGTGGGCAGCAACTAAAAAAGTGTTTTTATTGAACTCAGTTGTCAGGAGTTCCCTGTGCACATCTACTGGGTGATACCTCTGAGGAGACTCAGGCAGAGAAGCCTCTAGCTCTGGCTCCCAGTAGAACTCAGGAAGCAGATGGGTTCCTGCCTCTTCCTAATAATAGCCCTAACAAACTTGAATGGTTTTATAGGATCAGGTGCCTGAAGAAATATTAGGACATCTGTAAAGACATCTCTGGAGTTTTAGGCACTTTCAGGAATAGGTGATCTGAACTAAGCTTCCCATTCTGCTTTCTTGTGTACAGAAGCTTGAATTCCATGTAATACCCGATCTAGCACTGGCCGTAAGTGTTTAGGATCCCATTAAGAATCTGTGACACTTTAGGGAATGAAAAGACCTTTAAAAATCTGGCCTTGGTGACCAAACTGGGAACAGAAAGGCAGTATAAATCAGTCGCTATAATAAAGCTAGAGGAGGGCATGTCTGCCCAAGGATACTATATGTAAAATAAGCTTTAGTTTAGTACGATGCCAAATTCTTAACTAATTCTCCATCTGGATGCTCTTGTTTCACATTGAAGTTGTGGTCATGTGTTCACTACACAGATGTGTGCGCCGGTATTAGTGCCTTCCCAACCAGATGTTAACAATTCTGCAGAAACCGTTATGGGGCCTTTCAGTCAAAGCCTGCAAGGTTAGTTTAACCCACTACAAGAAGGCTAGTGGAATTAGCCATCTGACATGGTATGGAAACAGCCAAATGATCAGTTTCACAGACACAGAGTGAGGTTGATGATCTTGGTTTCTTCACTGGGGGAAGAAGGGGTGACATGAGAAGAGTAACAACCCTGAAGTGCCATAAGAATGCTATCTTCCATGTGAGGACTACTTTGCACAAAAGCTTAAGCATCTGCCAGAGGAGCTGGTGGCAAAGCTTTTGTCAGTTATCGTTCTGGGCTATTTCTCTGTATGTTCTGTCTCTTGAAAATCATTCTTCAGAAGGCATCACCATGATTAGGAAACCCAGGTATTATATTACAAAGTGCCTATTTTCAGATTATATACCCTTGTAAGTAGTGGCACAACCATTTTTACTCATATCAGCATTTATTACATGCGGGCCATTGGCTGACAAGTTCTTTGTGTTTTCTCCTGCCTTTGGATTACATAAATTTTAGACAGTGGAGTAATATTTTTGTTCTTCTAGGCCACAGACTCCTCATCTAAAGCAAGTAGATGGGGAGCTTGGGGTACCTGGGGGAAGTCTCTCCTGTCATCAGCTTCTGCCACAGTGGGTAAGTGTTCAATCAGTAAAATATGTGGAAATAAATTGTAATTTTAATGTGTCATTAGTCGCATTAATGTTGTATCTTAAAGTTTCATAGACAGTTTTGTCCTGATATGCTTGGCAAGCATGATTGTTTTATAAGAGGAAGAAGGACCTTCCTAAACTGTCAAAGCACATAAATATTTCTTTGGGTTACATTATGGAGAAGGTGATTTACCTCATTGTGGCTTCTTCACAGAAAGGATACATAATCTGATACAATTCCTATCAGCCAAAGGCTTATGGTTTTTGAAGTCAAAGCACTCCAACCCAGATTCAGGCACGTGCATGTTTGTGGTTTATACACCACAACTTCTAGCTATACGATGCGAATTCACTTATTGTAAATTATTCCAGCTTTCATTGACACCCAGTGAGACAGTTAAGCTATCACACTAGACTTCAGCGAGTAGGACAACATAGTGAAACATGGACCCTGTAGTCCTCCCTATACTCTCATTTCTGATAGTATGTCAGTACAAAACATCCTTGTGAAGACTTCAGATAAAACTTAATCGTTACACATCAAAAACTCACACACAAAAAGTGAAGCATGCAAATACCTTGTTATCAGTGGGAAATAATTTCTCACAGAACAGCTACTAAACTGTTAACTAATCAGTTCTCATAAAGGATCCGCAAAACACCTTCAAGAGACGAACCTAGGAATTAAAATTAATTGCTAGTTACTAAAAATAACAGATTCAACAGAGATGTTGGGTTTATGATCCCATATAAGGCTAAATAATTCTCCTCTTTATCCTGCTCTGTTCCATGGGCAATAAATTATTTCTGTCTATTTCTCAGAGTAGGAGGGAACTTCCCCTATCCTCTTTTTTTTAGTAACAGCCGCACTCAAGTGTTCATAGCTACCTTTTCTTTCAGACAGTCCAACCAATTAACATATCTAATTAAACTCAGAATGGGTTTCTAAAATGTCTTTAAATTGATGTAAGTGAAGGTTGCTGCTGAAAGGAGCAGGCCAGCCCTGCCCCAGCAACGCATTTCTTCCTTCTCTTACGCTAACGGTAGCCTTGACGTAGTGATGTGGGGAGCTGGCTTATGGGAATGATTCTGGAAAGTACAAAGAAGTAAGAGGTGGATCTTCAGCTGAATCAGTTTGTAAATTCCCTAATCTGGCTCACCATTTCATTACCCAAGTGCTACTCAATGGGTAAGATGGGAGCACCCAGAATGTGCTGATGGGGACAAGGGCAGCTTAAATAGCTGTGGAACTGCGTAAGTGTTTTCAGCTTGTATTTAACCTTAAAGTTTAGCACGTCTGCTTCAGACTTGAAGGATGGCCTCTGTGAGAAAATTTTGCCCATTTTTTTCCCAACACTATTAGAAGGTCTAATAAAGGGTACTGCTTTCACAGACTTCCACAAGCCCTGCCTCTGCTATGTTCTTAGACCATCATAACAACAGCATTCTGAAAATAATTTGGCTTAGCCTAAATAACTAAAGAAGAAAATTTATGTGCATAGAAGTAATTCTACTGTCGATTGGTTGGAATTGTAGTGCTGATGAATTGTTCAGTTCATTTTTATAGTTGCAGCAGTGGGTTTCTTGGAACAGAGCTCTTCCAGGTCATTAGCAGTGTCCCTGCTCACTGCAGGGGGGTTGGACTAGATGACCACTAGTGGTCCCTTCCAACCCTAAACATTCTATGATTCTATGATTCTATGATTCAGTTTTTGCCTGCGAGGTAGCCATATTTATATTCTGTTTAACTTTTGCAATAAATAGCATTCTACCATATAGGCAGTCTAGTGTTGTTAGTGAGTAATAAGATTATTTGGTACCAGACAGTTACTGTTCTTGGAGGCTTGCAGTGGAAATCTCACTCAAGAGTGTTCTGTTGCTTAGAAGTCTTGGCCTCACAGAGCAATCACTTTAGTGTCACAAAGTATATATATTTTCTGTGGGGCAGTATGGCCATAGATACTTTCTTGCCTAACTGATGTGAGCTTGCCTGAAAATGATGAATGCTGTTGGGAAAAGTTTGGGAGACAAACAAGAATGTGTGCTGTGTCCCTTCTTACTGTCTAACAAGTAAACAAGACACACCTTTTTACAGCTGTTTGTTGCTTTTGATATAAAACCTGCTGCCAGCATTGTATCTCTGTGGATTTCCATGGACTTTTTAATGATGTGATCTCATTTTTATAGAGGCCATATATAACATCTTGGTTCATATACATTAAAATTCATGCTTAATCGATAGAGGCTTCCTAACTGTTAAGAAGTTATCAGCATCATAACTATCTTCACAGAGTGTAAATATATGAACAAATTTGTTCTAGGCAGCCTGACTTCATAAGGTTGTGTCATGTTGTCTATTTTGAATAGGCATATCATCACCATGTATATGTACTTCTAGAATTATTATTATTTAAAAATGAGCACAGTGGGAACAGGTCAAGTTACCTAGGCAAAGGAGCATCCACACGGAGAAAAGGAAACCCAAAATTTTAAAATAATTTTGATTTTATGTGAAATGGTTTTACCATGTCACACTGAAGAACCATCTACTATCTAGTTTCTGACAGTGACCAAGAGCAACTGGGAAAGAGCCTAAACCCAGATATATGTAAAGCAGAACTTCCCCTGTTTTCCCATTTCCTGGAATTTACAACTTAGACTGCCCGACCCTGGGGTCAGAGTAGGGTTGAGTTCCCATATTACTATCTAATAGTTTTGGATCTAACTTTTCTCTGTGAATTTATTAAATAAAATAAACTTTGAATTAAGCAGAAACCAAATATACATTCTTCCGTGTTCACTGAACCCAAGGTAACTTGGAATAGATAATAGATAATCTTAGATTTGTTCCAGGAAATCAATACAGCAGATAATAGTTTATAATCCTGATATAGAGGGCTTATTTCCTAGTTGTTTGTTATGGAAATTCGTGCTTCATCCTGTGAAGTATTTACTGTCTGTCAGTGTCATAGACAGGATGTGGGACTGTATATACTATATATCTGCTTCAGTATGATAATTCTAGCAAGACAGAGAGAGAAAAAAAAATTAAAGCTATTGGGAATTTCTGTAAGCTTTCTTCTTTCTATTAAATATTTATTATTCCCCTTCAAGTTACTCTGTATAATATCTGAGCACTTCAACTAACACTTCGCCTCCTCTTCTACACCAGAAAATAGGTTTGCCATGATCCAGTCCATTTTAATGTTGCTTATTCCTTCAGTGTAGCAAATGGTATAAGTAAAGCTGCTTCCTTGGAATTAGGCTTACAGCAACACCTTCCGTATGTGTTTTTTCTGTTGCTCTGTCATTACCTTTGTACGACACAGCTGCTTTTCTGGTTAAGTATGACAAATATTTACTATTCCTTATATTTTTTTTCATAATTGTATTCTGTAAAAATAGCAGAAATAGATTGAGGTGGACTAGATAACACCTTAAAGGCCTAACCGAATACATTCAGCTTTTAACAAATGGTATCATAGAACAGCCCGGGTTGGAAGGGACCTTGAAAGATCACCTAGTCCAGACTTTTGTGGGAAGGGGCACCTAGATGAAATTATCTAGCACTTTCACCAGTCACATACTGAAAACCTCCATCAGTGGGGATTCTACCACATCCCTGGGGAGGTTGTTCTGGTGAATGATCATTCTTACTGTAAAAAATTTCTTTCTTACATTCCTTTCTCTTTAAGACTGAGCTGAAACGGTTGTTCCAAGGATCTCAGTTTCATTATCCTTCAAACCCTGATTTAGAGCTCCCAAACAGATTAGCATTTTTACTGCATGGCAATAATTTGTTTAGCATAGCTGGGTTTAGTTTCTGATAATAAGGCAATTTCCATATAATTTGTATTTTATCTCTCTTTAACTGTGCACATATAGTCAGTGATTGTTTTGGCGATGGTTTTGTATTCTAAAGAAAACGTCTGTTGTCTTTGAACTGATCTTGACATTAGTTGGATCAAGGTCCCCGCCACAAGGCAGATGTGAAACTCCTCTGCACAACAGAATCTGTAATGCGTTTGGACTAGTAGCAGTCACTGCCTGAACCATGCTTAGTGTCTGACACTAGATGTCACACTAAGAAAGTTACTGAGTCTGCCTCACTAATGAGGTGAAGAGTTTTCTTTTGTTTTTAAAAGGTGCAAGAAGTTTGGTTTCTCCCCTTGTGGAACCACAGTGGAGTAGATCCACTGAAATAGTTGCTGGGATGATGAGGTGGGTGAAGTAGGCTCACTGTGATCTGGAAGCACAACTTGCATTTATTGTCACCATTTTACCCTCTTTATTTTAAATTGTATTTTTTAGTATATCAGTAACTTGTATGCTTGAAAGCTTGCCTGTTTGGGTTTTTTTCCAACTAAGCTATCTGCTAGCCTAGTGAAAGTTATTACCTTCTCCTACAAGCCTTGCCTTTCATCTGCTGCGTTGTTTTGTACGGGTGAATTATGGCGTTCATAACGTGCTTAAGTTACGGTGCTCAACAAGGTGCATTTGCAAGCAAAGTCTGTTCTCTATCGTGCTGTATGCATGTGCTTCCCTCCATGTAAATTTGGGGTTTTTTTACCTCTAGTGCCATCAGTAAGACTAACATCTGTCAATACCTCTTACACAATAGAAGTCATAAAAAGTAGAACCCAGCTATTTAATTTACATGGTCTCTGAAATTCATACTATAAGGCTGCTTAATGCATGTCTGTCATGCATTGCTTGTAATTAATATTCTGTCTTGATTATTTTGTGCTTGCGTATATTCCTCATCTAGTTCTTCACCTAGTAGAATGGCACACAGAAATATCAGACACCCATAGTTCTTCTGGTATGCTGAAAACCTTTTCTTGACGTTCTTCAGTATGACAGAATTAAATGTCACTTGTCACTGTGTCCATGAGCTTGGATATTATTACACACAGGTACGTGTAATAAGCTGCATTGCATAGGTTAACTTGAAGTCTGTGTGGAACAGAAATGCAAATGCTTCAGATAATGTGAAACTAAAGTATGGAAATGACATTAATGTCTTTTCCATTCTCTACAGATACTATTCCCTGTTGTGAAATAAAGAATGACAGTAAAAAAAAAACAAAGGCTGGATGTTATGCTTATACCTTATGTAGTCATAAAAAGGACAGTCAATCTCTTCAGAAGACCTTTTTTTTTTTTACTGCATAAATTCAGCTGATTAAGGGAAAATCCCATCTTTGGAAACATTCAAGGCCAGGTTGGATGGGGCTCTGAGCAACCTGATCTAGTTAAAAGTGTCCCCTGCTCACTGCAGGGGGGTTGGAGTAGATGACCTCTAAAGGTCCCTTCCAACCCAAAACATTCTATGATTCTATGAAATCAAAATTATTTACAAAACACTCAACTGTTTTGTAAATTATACATTACAACCACTGTAGCAGCAACCCCCTTTTTCACAGTCCTCCTTTTTAAGAACACTGAATGCAGGTATCAGATGGGAGGCATTGTGGACATGCTTTTGGGGATGGCAGTCCCGTTTCCTTTCTTTACATCTTTTAATGTGGGCTTATGATCTAGAAGAGGTTCAGAACCAATAATCTGTTGTAGCAGCCTTTATGCCTGTTGCTATTATTAAAGCCTTCTACCATTGCAGTAAGGAGATCTGAAACTAGTCTCATTTACCAGCTTAATTGGAGTTATTCCTGATTTACAGACTGGATAGGGTAGGTATTATCAGAATCTAGCCAGTGGTTTTGTTTTAACTATAAGGAAGAGAATTATTCTGAAGCCTTGAAGTGAATAGAGTGCCAATAGAATACCCTCAAAGTGAGCACAACGGGGTCCCACTTTTTTTAATGTACAAACCAGAGCACAGCTGGCTTTTCTGCGTACCTTCATACAGTGAAGTGATTCCCACCCCAGCCATCTTCAGGTTCCTCAGTTTCTCAGTCAGTGTCAGATGCTGATTTGAGGCCTCGATTTTCATCATTAGCTTGAACCAGGTGAAGCCTCTTTCATCTTACTAAGACTGAATTTTCATCGGTTTTTCATCTGAAATGTCCCCATGGTGCAAGACAGGTGACGAAGATTGTGTGGTAGCCAGGGATAAAATCTCAAACTGAAGCTCTATTTGTACTGCTGAAGCAGGGAGTTCAGTTGCTTGGGTGTCCTTAGATTGACAAGGGTCAGGGATTCCTACAGAGAATGGTTTAGATTTTAGGCATGCCGAACTGCCCTCCAGAGGTGTCTGTCTGCCTCTTTCAGCTCTGCAGGGAATCCAAAGCTGTGAGGTGGAAGATAAGAGTGCCGAAAGTGAAGTGGGATGTTTCTGACTAAAGCATTTGTGAGTGCTGTGATCTGGCCTTGGGCAGATCAGGCAAACTCAAAGGCAGGCTACATTTATAGGCACTGCTTGCAAAACCTTTCTTTTCAAATGAAAGATTCCAGCTAGCAATATGAACAACAATATTCTGCTGAAATTGCCAGCCAATAGAAAGAAAATAAGTCATGCAGGCAAGAAAAACAAAAGCCACAACACAGCAAAAAAAGCATGCCTTCTTCAAAAAGTAAGCAGTTAACGATACCCATTGCATAGCTCTTCTGTCTCTGCTGTTACAGATGAGTAAATTGAGATGTCGGAGGTGTTCCTAAGTTTACAGCATCAGCTCAGTTGCGTTACCACACCCAGTGTTAACAAAAGCAGCGCACCTTTATCTCTAAAATGTAGGCTTATCTCCCAGAACCTCTTATTTCTGTGCCTTTTGAGATTATGAATAATCATTTTCATTTCCAAAGCAACATGCACTTCTGCCATGTTTGTGCATGCATGTGTACCTAACAGTGCTGACTTGCTTCAGTTGTAGTCTTCTGACCTCATCTGGTTTTGTTGTTGTAGTCAAACATACATGCCACACAGCTTAGTTCAGTAAAATCACTCCTAGCTGACCTGAAATATTTTCTTATCATTCTAGTGCATGTAACCCCAGCTCTAAAAATGCTGCCTTTTATAATTCTGTAAATATCAGTACAGGATCTGTGTGCCTCCTTTTCTTGGAAGTATAAGCTTGTCTGCAAAACCATGAGAACCAAATTACAGAATATTTAAAAAAATAATAAAAATGCTTAGATACAGAAAAAAACTGGAACATTAATCTGAAAATCCATAACTTTCACACATGGTTAAAGGGAAATTTTTGCTTCATGTTCATAGTTATTTTTTTATGTAATTACAGGACAATAATATTTTGTTAGCAAGTCAAGTCCTTAAGAAAAATTAAGTCAATGGGAAAAATAGAACTCTTTTGCTCATTTAAAAAGTTGTGAGCAGGAGAAATTGAAAGGAATGTGACATGGAGTATCTATTACATTAGTTTAAAAGAACAATTAGTAGTTATTTAAGTGAGTCCCAGGAATTTGGAGAGTAAATAAATGACTCTTGAATCTATTCATGCTAATATGTTTATTGAACCAATTAAAATGTGCAGGAGATTGGGATTAGAGAAAGTATTACTCTGTCCTCCAGTATCTGAGAAAAAGTAGACAAAGGTCATATTTTCTTTAGACAGGTAAAAGCATTTACCTGCCTAGTCTCTCTGTTTCAGTGTAAAACATCAGAACCCCATGCAGCTTATGCTGTCGTATAGAAAATTACTTGTTTCTGCTCATCAGTTCCTTAGGGGACATCTGTTCTTTGTGTTTATCTCCAGATACTCCAATTTTCTTGTGTGTAATATTTCAGTAGTGCTGCTTCACATATATTTTCTAGAGTATATTTATTACTGAATTCATGGAGCACCTAATGTGCAACCCATCTGGAAATCATAGAATCATAAATCCAAGCTTTCCTTCTTCCTGCTCTGTTTCAAATAGTTTTGCTGTGTTGTTCTTTAATCAGATATTCAAAAGCATATTTGTATGACTACACACACTGACATATATGTATATATGTATTTATATTCAGAACGCTGCAGAGCACTGGTAAATGATGGGCTATTTTGCTGTAGTTAATGTAACTCAAAAGATGCTTTGAACTTTTCTAATAGAAAGTGCATACAACTGTGGGAAAGTATGGACAACACTTAATGAATACTTGACTTCATGCCTTTGATGTCTAGGTATCTGCCTAAGCATCTGTATTAATGGCTATTCTGAAATAATTTCTCTATTTACGGTTCAGATTAAGATAACAAAGCAAAAAAGTATGAAATTGTCATTAATGCTTCTCATAAGTAGTTAAGCAGATAGTTAAAGCACTCTGTATTGACCTACTGCTGGAAGTGATCAGCTTTACGTGAGATGCAGTAACGATGTGCTGTGCAAGAAAAAATAAAATCGGGTCAGTGAAGCCTTTTCTTTTTGTGTGGGAAAGAAATATTGTTCACCTGGATGGTTGTTTACTTACTGCATCTTAGCTGATGTACAGAAGCTTCCAGCTAAGGAAGATGTGCTAGCAGGATCGTCTGTAGTGAGAGAAGCGTATCATGAACATACTTGTGGATATATCCAGAGGCAGAATAGGCAGATAATTTGAGGGCAGTCTTTTTTAAGGGCAGTGTTTTTCAACTACAGCTGATGCAGATCAGGAAGCTACCACTTCCTTTTAATGACTACCAGGCAATCCCACCCTATCTTATAGCAGGATATTACCAGTCCATGTGATCTGCTGGTGTAAATAAACTCTGTGTAGAAAAGCAGCAAAGCAATCCCATTATGTCAAAATTATTTCAATGAAAACACCAGTAACATACATACTTTACATTAAACTAGACCATTTTAATAGAACAGAGAGTTGGGGAGTCACTACGTATACGTCAGGTAAAGGTGGTAAAATCTCTGTAGGAGATCAGCTACTACTGGAATAATAATTCTGCATCATCCGACACCAACAGACTTTACAAAGTGTATTTAAACAGCAGGTCTGAGGAGAGACACTTTAGAATTTGACTTCGAATGAGCAATTGAAGAGCTTAAATCCTGAAACAACTTTGAGGACTGGGGTCAGTATTCCTAAAATACTTACCTAACATAGCACCCATGCAGCAGACTGAAGGACAGATTACTTACCTCAGCCCTGCAGTCACCCAGTCCATTAATTGTGGGTTATTTGTTCTAGGCTTTTGAAAACTAGGTGAGGCCAAACCCTACAGCATTAGGAGGACCATCAATTTATCTTTAAACTAGTTGTAATAGAATATTTAGCATTTTGAAAAGCAGGGAACTAAACTTATATGGGCCACTGAAACAAGTTTTACATTTCCAATCCAGTGTCATTTGTATTATATTTCAGCTTTATAATTTCTAGTCAGTTAATATACTGGATATAGTAGAACAAGTAAATTATTAACCTGGGGAAAAAAACCACAATTGAGGTAAGTTTAATAGCCATTCTGATTGTTATCATTCGTGGAATATAAGAATACTATGCACTGTTAGTTAAAGTTTTCAAATCATATAATTTAAAATATGTTTCTGCTGCAGGTCATGGGATAACAGCAGTAAAGGAAAAAGCAGGAACTACCTTAGGAATTCATAACACAAGTTCAGCATCTTCAGAAACAGCAGAGCCTCGTGCAGCTGAAACACCAATTATACGTAAGTTCAAGATTACTGAAATTGGACAAAACTCTTTGATGCTGCCCAATTAGTCCAATTTACAAAATTTTAAGATTTTGATCACAGAATCCAGTTTACTGTAATTTGTGACTTGGAGAGTTTAAAGTATGCTGTAGCTTGCTTTTTTTCTTTTGTTAGAAGCAGAAGATTCTCTGGACCAAAGCTCTTCTGAGAATATCCCTTCTTCTCCTTCATCTGGATCTCGTGGCATGTTGTCAGCTATCACTAATGCTGTACAGAACACAGTGAGTCATTTTAGTGGGCCTTTCTGTTCTATTATTCTTCATCATTTTTAGGTGCAACTTCACTGTAGCTCACATTTAACAGGTAGTTTGTTAAGTTGTAGGTCTTTGTAAAAAGAGTTCTGTTGTAAGGCTGTTTAGAGTCTCTTCCATGGCAAAACAACTGTATCAAATTTAAAAAAAAGAAAGTCAAACACAACTAAGTCAGTTACTACTTTGGCATCAGTTTCAGTGAAAAATATGGTCTTCTCCTAAACTGCAAATTCTTCAGAAATCTTTTTTATAGTTCTGGTACTGTCATCTAATTTTTTTACAGTTAAGTCCTTCCAGAGAAAGTATGATAAGAGATGTTAATCATGTCTGAAGGCAGATAAAATATTTTCTGTGTGTTGCGCTTCATCCTTTTCTATTTCTCTGTATTTCAGGCTTTGCAAAATCCTGTACCGTACTGTTTCCAAATCAATTTTTTGTGTCATCTTCTTCCCCAACATTTTTCACACACTATTACCATAGCAAATGTTTTTCTCTGAACTTTTCAGTATGATGTTTTTTGTATGAAAGACTTTCAGCATCAGCTAAAAAAACAAAGACTAACTCCCCATTGAGCGTGTTTTAGGAAGTGGCAGTTCTTTTTTAGTGCATATCCAGTTCACTCTAATATCAAAGATTTGGAAAGCAGAAGGAGGTTCCTATAGGCTATTCCTAAAACTGTTGGAGCATTGTAGGGCTTGTGAGAGCTGGATGCCAGCAAAATTACCTGAGCATTGTATAAGGTTTTCAGATAAGAGAAATGTGCTCTTATGCAAACCTAGAGTGGCTACTATACCACAGTGATGAACGTCACCAAACAAAAGAATAACTTAAGGTCTCAGTAAATTGCCTGTAATGTCATTTGAGACTTTGATAGGGTTTTCCATTATAGATCAGGTTACATCAGCATGTGAGTATCTGACAGATGCATAATCCAGATTGAAATGGAAATTATTAGCCAGTGAAAAGTCTTCTTCAGTGTACGTGAAAAATTGTGAGGGAGGGCTAACGCTAATATGAAGACACAGGAAAAACAACTGTATTTTAGTAGACAGTTCCAGAGTCATCACAAGTGTCAAAATTTTAGAAGTCAATTAGGTAAGGCAGGGTCATCCTGTTCACAACTTTGGCTCCATATTATTCATATCTAAAATATGTTCCCACAGACTAGATGCTACTTTGGATAAAATTAAAGTGGTGTTATTCATAATTTTTTTATTGGCAACAGATGTTACATTTCCTCCAGTGTGAGTCTTTTAATTAACTAGAAATATTGGTATAGTTCATTTTTTCTTTTTGAAAATATATTCAGAACAAAGTAACATAATTTCATAAATGTATCAATCCTATTGTTAGTTAAAGCATAGAAAATCTAGGGACCTGAATGTTCAAAGGTGGTGTGGGCAAAAGCAATACTTTTTACAGTTCATATTAGCATAAAGTGGAAAGAAAATAACCACATTGCCTTATTTTATACAGGGGAAAACTGTATTGTCTGGAGGCTTGGATGCTTTGGAATTTATTGGGAAGACAACCATGAATGTCCTTGCAGAAAGCGATCCTGGATTTAAGAGAACCAAAACACTGATGGCAAGAACAGTTTCTCTATCTCAGGTTGGATTTATTTAAAAACAGCTCTGTCAATGCAGTTTCAGATTCTTCTTCCAGAATTTAAGATGCCTCAGGGAGAGGCTTTATTCATTGCAGTAGATATTGTCTAGGCTTATGGAAATAAATATTATGCTTTATATTTGCTCCACTTTATTTTTCTTCACAGAACCACAAAAGATAATGTAAAATCATCTTTTCTGCATAATCACATGTACAATAGCTGATTTTAATAAGATAGTATACGTGGTGATATATCATTACACTCTGGAGACAGAATCAAATTGTTGTTGTTTTTGTAATAGCTGTAGATAGATATCTTCCAGCATAAACATGACGTACACTACTTTCCTTGGAAGTGAGTAATACTGGAATATGGCATATATTTTATTAGGAATTAAAGGTGTTTCTATCTTAATGTCTATCTAAACTAATAGTACCCTTACACAGTCATGACTCATATGTCCAAAAGTTCAGAGACATGATAAAAGCAGAACAGAAGTGTAAGTGCCGTCAGCACAAAATTATATTAGCTCTCTGGACACTGAGAGGAGGGAGGCTGTGGAAATCAATAAACATTGAAAAAACCCTCTAATTTTACTACATGTTTACTTCCTTGTAGAGAGGTATAGGGTATTTTTCTTTTAATGAGATGTTTCATTTTTAAAGTTGCTCATCGTAAGTGTAAACAGACCGATCCTGTTGTAGTAGGCCAAAGGCAAGTAACTCTTGTTAAGACCCACAGGGTTAAAATGAGCTTTTGAGAATGCCTTCCTAAACAATATGCATGAGTTCACACATAAAATCTGAGGCAGAAAGTGACATAAATCAGTTCTCATGGGTCGCATAACACGGTGCTTCCTTTTCAGTGATTTGTACATAAAACTTCATGAGTGATCTTTTGAAGGTGGAGGCTGAAAAATCTGCCATCATAAGTCTTTTGTAACAAATGAATAACTGAAGACAATATCACAGAAATTTTAGAATGATGGAACAGTGTAAGTGGTGAGAGTTCACCTGTATTTAGAGGCTTATATGTGACTCAAGATGCAGTTCAGATGTATTTACCATCTTTATTTTAGCAAATTCATATGAGAGGACATTCCTTCCTGGGAATAAAAGGAAGGAATAGAAGATCCTATTCTGTACACTATTTTTCCTACACACTAATGGAAGTGTATAAGAAGGTGACTCCAAAATATCCCCAAGAATATGGAGTGTATAATTCTGCCGCGCCTTTGGTAGGAGTCATATCTTATTAGGCCAATTTCTTTTTTCAGTCCTGCTGTCACATAAAACTGACTTTAATATCTGCTAAAAGTAGTTTATAGGAAATACTTATGTAGGTGCATTGTTTATGCAAGTAGGTAGGTAGGTCCTGAAAATAATATCCTTCCCATTTTGTGGTCTGTGGAATGGATTGCATGACTCTTTAAGGCTGTGTATGAAATAGTCCTTTTTATTTTTCTTTCGTTGTAACTGGTGGCTAAATTTATTATACGGTATTCCATAGGTGACATTGCCTTTGAGAACATAAGCAAGATTATTTGTTTGCTCATTGTTTTTTAAAAAAAGATGGATAGCAATTGCCATTGGGAAAACCACACTTAGAATACTACTTAAATATTTTATTAGAGAAGTTTATCAAGAAAAGAAGTTAGGTATTTCAGCTCTAAAATTTCAGCCCTGCAGATGTGATATAGTCCCAAATTTTATTACTACTTCTTAGACAAGGAGAAGCGGAAAGTAATAAAATCCATCATACCTACAGCACGACCTATAAAACAACAAGTATGATGTATGTTTTTGCAGCTGTTGCGAGAAGCTAAAGAAAAAGAGAAACAGAGGCGGGCCCAGCAAGTTACGGTTGAAAGAACAGCACATTATGGGCTACTTTTTGATGAGTTCCAGGGTTTGTCTCATCTTGAAGCTCTGGAAATCCTGTCAAATGAAAGTGAAGCCCAGGTACAGTATGCAGACGGTATAAATCAAAATGGTTGGTAAAAAATTTTCGCTCTACAGGTGCATGTGAAATGAACAGTAAGTTTTTCATCAACTTCAGAGAAAGCTGGATTGGTTCCATGGGCCAGTCCTTGGCTTCAGGAAATCAGTCTCAATACATGTAAAATTTAACTCCAAGATTAATCCAAAACAAACAAATTCACAACTGAAAGTTATTTTTGGTAGGACCATATATAGTGTGTATTTTTCAGCTTGTGACACTATGCAGATGTCTCCTCAGAATTTGCAAGGTGATTGATGTCTTTTGGTTTTGTATCGGGCACTGAGACTTACATTCATGAGTTCCAGACCTACTACACCTAGAGGCTAGTGAATTAAAATGAATTCCAGATTACTTATTTGATTCCTAAGTCTTCTTTAGTATGTTAGTTTTTAAACTTACATAAAAATACCCAAAGATATCATTACTGGAAGTATACAAATGCTGTATGTCTCTCTGAAGAACATGTTCAAGTTACCAAGGCCTATATGATAAATACATTTTTTGAATTTCAGCTGTCAGTAGATCTCTGACAGTAGACTAATAGAACTTTTGTAGATTCCCAGCTCTGGTATTTTGTACTCAAATAATTTTCTGAATAAATTTCTTAAAATGCATGTTTTCTTCTTTTTAGTTTTAGTAATTGGCACTCCTTGCCCTCTGGGTTATTTTTAATAAAAAATAACCAACTTTTTTTTTTTAATGTTTTATTTGCTGTCAAAAATAAAATGTTATTTTAATAGCAGCTAGGTACATACTGTCCATATTGGGTTTGGGTTTTGCAATTATGTCTAAATGCAAAAATTATAAATTCAAAACCCACATGTAAGGTTCAAGGGCCTGCTTTTGAGAAAAGAAAAAAAACGGAAAGAGATAAATAGAAAACAAGTTCAGGTTAATTGCATGTGTCATGACTATTTTTCTTCTACTGTTAAATACCACAGGTTGTTACCATGAGGTTTCTGATATGCTTCATATTATTTCCTAGATAACCCCCATAGTCCTACTCTCACCAACAGGATTGAATGCAACTCTCTGGGTCAAGTCCAATTCCTTGATACATGTTCCAGAAGACTCACAGAACATATTCCTATTACCACACACACACACACACACAAAATACTTATGGTACTGTAAGCTTGAGACCTGTACTAACAGCCCAAAAGCCACACTCTGATGGGCCACAGGAGGAGCACAAGAGAGACTGAAGGCATTGCTAATGTCCCATGTCCTTCCAATAGCAGGGATTTAAAAATATTTTAAAGCGTTTGTTTTAAAAGTTTCCATTAAAAAAAGGTCCCAGTTAATCCTATGAAACAGAAATGCTATGGAGAGGGCCAAAAATCCCTAGGTAGTCCTTCACAGCCTGAGCTGGGTCTCCCAACTTTATCTTGCATTTAACCCTAGGCATATGAGCTGGACACATCAAGGAGGAATATAAATAATCCCTTCCTCCAGTCTCTCATGGAGCCAGTCTGCACATCTGTCTAGCAAGCTTAAAAAAAACCCCCAAACTTGAAACAAACCTAAAAGTGAAATTTTGTACCAAAGGGAGAGAAGGCATTTCTCTTGGGTTCCATAGGCAGAGAGTGCAATCACGGAATTAACACGGCGTAACTGTAGTGCAAACTAACAGTGATTCAAAGAACCTGTTTCCAACCCTCTTAGGCGTGCCACTCTATTAGATATTCAGGGACTTGCAGATACCCAAGGCATGCATAGACCTGTCAATACATTCTTCAGAACAGGTAGACTGGTAGACTGTCAATAATTTTGGCTGCATTTCAAAGGAGGGGAAACAGGCTTCTTTTTCCAACTCTTCCCGCGAGTGCTCAGACTAAGCATGAATTCTGCCTGGGCTCTTCTTGCCTGCTGTCTTCATCCAAGCAATCCAAAATGCCTATTACAGTTTGCAATTAAACCATTGATTCATAATTCAAAACTCATGTTCTGGCAGAAGGTGGAGACCTGATGATCTTGCAAGGCTGGTGTAATTTCTGTGATACTCAACGAATTTTGTTGATGAGAATTAAAAATGTGTCTACATTGGCAGGTTAGAGACAAGATTTGAGCATAATGGAAGTTTTCATTTCTTAGCCTATTTTGGTGTCAGGCTCTAAATTAGCAATTTAAGAAATGTCCTGTTTTGGTTGAGAATGCTTACTGTCCTTTCTTTCACAGATTCAGTCATATTTAGCAACGCTTGACGGAGAGCAGTTGGAGACTGTGAAAAATGATTTAATTGCTATAAAAGAGATTTTTCTTCCAAAGGAATCAGATGATGAAGTGGTACAGGCACAGAAAGGTAATTAGAAACACAGAGACTTAACCATATGAATAATTGTTACTTCTGTACATAGTAATTAAAAAAGTTACAATCCAAACTATAATTGCTGATATCCTATTACTCTTCATAGGGTAGTCACTAAAATTAATACTCTAAAAGTGCTGGAAGCTGATCAATGCTTCATTTTGAATTTATGTTGTAATTGAAATGTGAGATACACAAAATGTAACGTAGGGGAGTGTTATATTGCTTTGCTATGTCATCAGTGAAAGCAAAACAAGAGTAAGAAGGGAAATTAATAACATTTTAGATAACTGACGTTTTCTTACAGAATCTGTTTGTGAAATTGTGTAATCTGAAAGTTTTGGAGTGTTTAGCAATGCTTTTCTATTTAGCAACTTCATCCTCACTTTGCACCCTCCCTTGCTCCTCTCTGTGCCGGTGGAAATAAAACCACAGCCGTGTTTTTCTCCACCTTACAGCTGAACGGGCGTTACTTCAGGCTGCAGTTCAAAATGACTCACGCCCTTTAGTGTGATCAGGCTCAAGATTTATCAGTATTTGAACTATGGATAAATTTCATTTCTTAGTATTAAGTTGGATAAATTTTAGTTCCACTGGAGGACACCAAAAATAAAAGAAAGGGTAATCACTTCTCGAAGTAGCTTTCTGTTAGGGTACAGAAAGCTGAGCCTACAATTCTGTGGTCAGGCTCCTAACCTGGGACACGTGGCCTTTACTTCTTTCTTCAGCCTCTCACCCATAACCCGTAGTACATGCAAGACTGCATTGGCAGTGCTCTTAACGCTGTATAGTGCTTTGACACATCCCTTCTAGACAGTCTCCTAGTCTGGGTACCTTTCCCAGTCAAAAAAAAAGTGTTATCTTCATTAAAATCTCGTCAGAGTGAATGAAGGCTTCTTATGATCTTCCTGGGTCAGGGAAAACAGACCTTTCCCTGAATTTCTTAATGCATGGGATCTTAAGTGTTTTTATTAAGTGCATTTATGCAGCAAATGCATAAAACTTTGTAAAACTTAAAGAATTTCATTAGTAGGCATTTACATGATGTGTAATGTGTGCCATTTTTAGATCAAAACAATATCCAGCACCTTTGCCTGTAATGTTGTATGTGATTTGCATGTCTGCTTCCCCTCATGAAGCACAGTTCTACTGAACAATTTAATGTTTCATTGGTACTTTAGCTTGCCAATCTTTACATGAGTTAAGTTGGATTCCAGTGGCTGGCTATTGACTACACTTAGTATTCTGGTCATATTTTACAAATAAGTTTAGCTTTCTGGGGGCATCGATATCTGTCTTTCTGGGAGCACACTTGATCTTTTAGGGTCTAGGTTTGAGTTGTTTGTTTGGTTGGTTGGTTTTTAAACTGGAATTGTTTACCTTAAATGACTTCTTGGGACCTTAGGCATATTTCTGTGGCATAATTAATATTTGCACTAAGAAAATGGTCTGTGTTAATGTTACCAAAAATTTTAAACATCATTTGACATCCAGCATAGATAAAAGTCAGTCAAGTTTAACAACAGGCTGGCTGATAGGACAAAATGCAGCTCATGTCTTGCTGTGAAGAGAAGGCTTCATTTTGGTTTGTGTTCTTAGCTCAAGCTATTCAACACATTTAAGGTCTTCTTAAGCACATGAATAGGTTTTACACTTATAAAATCAAGTCAGTAAGCCATATGCTCTTTTAACAGCATATTTTTTAGACAGAATTATATATTTTTACTTAAGCTAGCTAAACTAGCAAGAGGTGGCAGTCTGTATTAAATTTGGTGGAAGAAGTTTGAGTTTTAATCCTGCTTGCTAAACAGCTTAAAACTACAACTAACTTGCCTTCAGTAGGATTTTGTTTTGTGCTTCCTAGCTCAATGAAACTTGTGGGGTTTTTCCTTTATGTAAGGAAGCCACCCCCCTACAAAAGACAGAGATCTGTTTGAAAATGTTAAATCTTATCTAGCCACCGAGCAGTATTTGAAAACAAATTAATTACCACTTATTGCTAATTTGTTACCACTTTCTCATCATCAAAGTCATGTTATTTATATGGTGTCATTTGTCAGTGCTATATATATTCAGCAAAAAAAAAAAGACTAGCTGGGAGGAAAACCAGTACTGTGCATTCAAGCGTTTGAAAAGGGTGGCCGTGTGTTTTATGTAAACTCTCAGGATCCCTTCTTATCCTAGGCTCTCAGGATCTCCTTCAGAGGTGTTGGTGCTACTTCTAGTTTCTACCATAAACACTTGCAGCCTTACACAAGGAGAAATTACTGCAGTGATCTTTGGAGGACTGTTTTGGGAAAGTGTTGGGGCTAGGCGTTGTTCTTGGCAACTTTGAAACTGGAATTGTAGGATTTTTAAGTCTTTGCCTAACAGTCAGGTAGGTGCAAAATCGATATGAAAAGAAAGAAAAGGAAAAGATATTTTCTGACACAAGCAGGAGAAAACCAAATGCATACCCTTCTCTCTAATGTTTCCTCTCACTTGGACTATGCAACCCCTTCATGCATTTTTCACTGCAGCTTCTTTTCCTTTCACTTGTTTATGAAATATTGAGAGGAGAGAATCTGAAAAAAAATAGCTTTACCTACATTTTGAAAGCCATTAGTACCAAAAATTTCATATGTGAGGTTAAGGGAGATGGTAACCAAAGTGACTATTGAATTGAATATGCCAGTTATCACCAATTTTGGTAATTTTGCATTGATCCAGTGAACTGCTTATCAGTTTTCAGCATGCTGCAGTTTATTAAACAATATTTGGCATTGTTTTAAGAACAACAACTGTATGAGGTTCAATAAGGCCAAGTGCCGGGTCCTGCACTTTGGTCACAACAACCCCATGCAGCGCTACAGGCTTGGGGAAGAGCAGCTGGAAAGCTGCCGGGTGGAAAAAGACCTGGGGGTACTGGTTGACAGGCAGCTGAATATGAGCCAGCAGTGTGCCCAGGTGGCATCCTGGCCTGTATCAGGAATAGTGTGGCCATCAGGAGCAGGGAAGTGATAGTGCCCCTGTACGCAGTGCTGGTGAGGCTGCACCTTGAATACTGTGTTCAGTTTTGGGCCCCTCACTACAAGAAAGATGTTGCATTGCTGGAACATGTCCAGAGGAGAGCAACCAAGCTGGTGAGGGGTCTGGAGCACAAGTCATACGAGGAGTGGCTGAGGGAACTGGGGTTATTTAGCCTGGAGAAGAGGAGGCTGAGGGGAGACCTGATCACCCTCTACAACTACTTGAAAGGAGGCTGTAGCGAGGTGGGGGTCGGTCTCTTCTCCCTGGTAACAGATGATAGGACAAGGGGGAATGGTTTGAAGTTGCGCCAGGGTAGGTTTAAGCTAGACATTAGGAAAACTTCTTCCCCAAAAGGGTTGCCAGGCTCTGGAATGCCCAGGGAGGTGGTAGAGTCCTCATCCCCGGAGGTATTTAAAAGAAGGATGGATGAGGTGCTTAGGGACATGCTTTAGTGGTGGGATGTCAGGGTTATGTTAAAGGTTGGACTCGATGATCTCAAAGGTCTTTTCCAACCAAAGTGATCCTATGATTCTATGATTCTATTCTATGATTCTATAAGTGAATTCAGTGTATTCAAGAAGTGCTGTATTGCAAAACCTGAAAATGCTATTGCCAAAATTTACTGGTAAGGGCAGCAATGAAATGAACTCTGTGCATCTCTTTGGCCTGCCAGAACACAATCTTCTTGACCTGTTCCCCTGCTGTTAAGAGGAAAGCTCAGTCTCTTGGTCATTACAGCTGAAGAGTTCTTCATGCTAAATACTAATTTTTTTTTATAAGCAACAAAGATGGGCACTCTCTTTACAAGCAAGGGTGAGATGTCCTTTGCTCTAGGAGAGTATAATCTGTCAGGTTCCACCACCTTTCCACATGTTGCAAGGTACTGTGGACTATAAAGAGTTCTACCAAAATCCCCAAACTCATTGGAGAGTAATGGCCCTCTGCTTTAAAGCCCAGTACTGAAGATTTGCATAAAAAAGGAAAAACTGGCCCTACCTATTAAGTGAACAAAAAAAGTGGGAATACAGCAAGACAGAAAATTCATTTTTGAAGTAGCTGGACTTTTATCAGGCTCAGTATGGGGACTTTGACCTTTTAGCGTCATCAGGCTAAAAAAAATGGATTTTGTGTATTCCACCAGGAAACGTTAATGAAGATTCCAAACTCAGTAAGTGCAGATGAACAGAACCAACCAAACCAGGAACTTTTAGGAACTTAGAGCATGTTAGAATATGGCAACTGCAGGTGGTCAAAGGAATATATATAATAAAGATGAAGTTTGAATACTGGCAATATTTCTCTTTGCTCATAAATCTTGTGAACAAAAGTGCAGTTTCTTTAAGGCTCATTACTCCAAAGCAGAACAGAAAACATTCTTCATTTAACCAAAGCTCAATCTTAAAATAGAAAGAAAACACACCTCTTAGCTGTGGTTTGCAGACAGAGCAATAGAGAACATGTTTTTCAGTTATGTTTCCTCTGAAACTTTTTTATATCTGGCCCTGCTGCAGCTTTTATTCCTTGGTTTGAAAGGACAGGTTTGTATCTCTTCTTTGGTTATTCCATGGGTCGTGCATTTTTGTCAGTAGCTAGGGATCATGCAGCTGCTTCTCCTCTTACCTGTTTTTGTGAAACTTAGTGGAATTTAGAATGGGGTGGAAGGAGTAGTCAAAGTGTCAAGCTAGCATACCTGGTTGTACAGGTATCTCTCTGTTCCTTGTTCTCTTTATTTGAGCATACACATGCATCCCCCCCCCGCACCCGTCTTGTATCGCTGTCGCTGCTTTTCAAGTGCTACAGTGCTTGGGGAAGCTATTTGCCTGGATGTATTTGATTGTGCAAAACATGATAGTGATAAAACCCTAACAGAATGGTCTTGTTTTTTCTTGCAGCAGATATGGGAGAAGAGTTTGTCAGCATGCTCACTGAGCTGCTGTTTGAATTGCACGTCGCTGCTACTCCTGACAAACTTAACAAGGTTAGCACCTGTTAGTGAGCTGCCCTCTGTGGCTTGGACAAAGAGGGAGGGCTCGGTTCTGAAGCCTGACGCACAGCAGTACCTAGCTCAGCTCAGACAGTCCAGAAAGCAAAGTACAGGTGGGTGGGATTAAAATGATGAGGCTGTCATAGAAGAAGTGAGATTAGCAAGGCAACACGGTCGCAGTGACTCGCTAGCACAATGGGCCACGTTAGAAAGCCTTGAACCGGGGATGTTTCAGCAGAACAGAGCTCTTGAGCACCGCAGATTTCGTCTTACGTACTGGGAACAAAGATCAGGTTCAGAATTATTTTTCTTGCTCATCTTGTTTATTCTTCTAAGGGGCTTCTCCAGAACTTCTTAGCTAGCAGCAAAGTTTTGGACTTACCTCATCTGGCTTCAATCATCTAGAAGTTAGATGGCTAGGAGTAGTCACTTTTCTAGTCACGTTTGTACTATCAGGCCCCTTTAGAGGTGATTTACCTACTGATCTTAGGCTCAGATGAGTATTTATCTCTCTAGCTACCTAGATAGACTATGGATAACTAGCTTGGCCTTAGGTGTTACAATATTTTAATTTGACTTCATGTTAAAAAAGAGACGTGATAAATTTCCTACTAACCATAACAGTAGTCTGAAGGTGTATAAAACTTCAAGGCTTTTCCGCTTTGATCTACTTTCATGTTTGGGAAGGCAGCGGAAGACACAGTGATTTTCTATTTATTTTTCCTTTAAGAATTTAGTACATCTCTCTTACCTCTCCAGTATTTTTATTTTTATACCACCTTCTTATTTTTTTATTTGGGAAAATTATTTCTATGTAAATTCCTTTGAAATATACCTCATAAAGCTGAAATATTAGTAACTTCGACATTAATGCCAAGTCTATGTGTTGGTTAGGAATATCATACCTGTAGAGGATTTGTCCCCGGCTGATGCACCTTTGTGCAGTCAGAAATGCTTCTCCCTACAGTTTCTTAAATACACAGTTAACTAAATGCCGTGCAGAGGCTTGATGTGTTTAAACTTCTGAATGTAAAAAGGAATTAATTAAATGTATTGTTAATTAATGTTCAGGAACATCATTTGATATTCCCTATTTGAACTGAACTTTGGGGTTGGGTTCTTTGTTTGGCAGGCTAGGAAAAAAGCTCATGAATGGCTGGAGGAAGCTACTTCTTCCACCCCAGTAGGAGACATAGGAGAGAAGCTAAAAGAGAAACCTGGAGAACCTGGTGAAGAAAAGACTGAAAAAGAAGATAAAATTGACAGTGATAAACCAGAAGTAGATAAAACCAAGACTGTAGAGGTAAAATAGCTTTTGGAGGATAAGTTTCATTAAGCAAATTGTCATACTTGATTTGGTAAGATTACTTCTTTATCTTTGTGTGTTGGTTTTATATGTTGTCCTTATTTTTTAAAGTCATGGAATTACTAAGAAATTAATTTATAACTAAGTATTCACTGTAGACTCAATAGGAAACTAACTTACATAAATATTTTTACTGTTAGTCTGTTCCCATAAGTAAATACCAAAGTAGCAGGTCCTCTGCCTATCGCATTGTTTTTATTTTTTTATATCTATGGTTTTTTGTGTATGCGTGTGTATACACAGTGAGCCAAGGGATTCTGTGGTGTAATGTCGGTATCACATTGAGAGTCATATCTTGACATTCCATCTCTTTTTCCCAGTGACAATACATGCATGGAAAAGAAATCTCAGGCTTTATTTAAACTCTTCAACAGTTTAAATCACAAACAGACAAAACAGAAATACTATTTAGGCAACTCACAAGTGTTCATTCTCTTTATGAAAGATAGCTCTTACGGCTAAAAGTATCGTGGCCCTTTAGACAACCCCTCTTGTTGATAAGGTTAATTGTGATTGAATACTTTACGCCAACTTATAGCAATATTAGATGTGGTTGGTATCTTTGTGAAGATTTTTTGAGTTAATTCTAATAAAGAAATTATCTGTCATGTTTCCTTACAAAAAAGGTCCAAAGAAGCAGGCAGCATTACACTGTAAATACTACAGATCTTTATGTGATTGCAGATTTCCAGCTGGCATCAGCTCGTGAAAGCTGTAACACCATAGTGCTAGGTAGAATTTTTTATCATTGCTGATAAAAGCCACTTTTTTATTGGAAGTATTATCCATTTCTACCCTGGAGATTCATCTGAGGGATGACTCAATACTTTTGGCTCCATATTAAAGTAATTGTGAATTATTCTAGAGTTAAGGCATCTTTGTATTTGTTAGGACTAGGTTTAAAAGTGCAATGTTAGAAAATCTGAGAGCCTGACCTAGTTCCCATCCGAATAAATGGTAGACTTGTTCTTACTAAGTTTTCAGGATGAGTACGGGGTCTGTATTTTATAATCTGTGGATTTTTCATTTTCCAGTATTGTTTGTGAGGATGACATTATGGCTGATATTACTTCACTGTGTATGTGGTGGTATTTCCAGCCCATAGAGGGCTCCTGTGTGTCAAATTCTTTTATTTGTATATATCTATATGTATATTTATCAGTGTTGTTATTATTGATTATATTATTCCCTGGTTTTAATTTAAGGAAATCTACATGCTGTCCATTGAAAGTCTGGCTGAGGTAACTGCTCGTTGTATTGAACAGCTTCATAAAGTAGCAGAATTAATTCTACATGGGCAGGAAGTAGAAAAAACAGCTGAAGATCAAGCGAAAGTACTGACAAAGTGAGTATTACAGATCTCATATATGAACATTTGACATTTGCTTAAAACTGCTGAAGGTCCGTTCAGCTTTTGGCACTTGAAGGCACAATAAGTTCATGGATCAACAAACAGCATTGGCTTTAGGGGTCCTGGTGCTATGTATCAAGTTACATAGGCTACCTGTCATTTTTTGGCATGGCTAACACTCGTATGTTTACAAAAACATGACCTATTCACAGGCTGAAAGTTTCTGTTCCAGCAAGTGAATATACGTGCTAATTTGGGTTGCGTGTCCTGTTTCCTCTGCAAAAGATACTGTGCTAGCATATACAGAATTTGCTTTTAGAGTGCATAATGAAATCTTGTTATCTGCCAGTAGAGTTTTATTATCTAGTGTTTATCTGCCGAAAATATACAAAAAGCAATCTGTAGTTCTAAGCAATAAGGCCACATTTGTCAGCAATTTTGCAGTAAACCATGACAAAGCATGCATAAATTCAGGAAGACAGTTCATCTAGTGGGACTCAAAATTCAGATCTCAAGCTCTCAGGTAGTAATTGATCCTACTGCTTTCAATGGGTTTTGACATTAAGACGTTTGCAAGCACTTGAGTCCTACATAAAGTATTTAAGCAAGCATTTATCCTTAGGAATGCTAGTGACAGGAGCAAAGTCCATAGGAACACTTCATCTAAAACAAAGTACTTGAACAAGTATTTTTCAGAATTAGAGCTAAGGTATGGTGCACCTTGCAGGATGAGGTTCTGCATGATGCCCTTGTGAATATTTAGCAAAACAGTGAAAGATCTGGGAACAGAACTAGATCTCCTTCTTCTCTCATATTTTAACCACAAGGGTGCTTCCTTTTTTAGTAAAGAGCAGATGTTTTATTGCTTAGGTAGGAAACGTCTCCTGTTCTCATTAAAGTTTGATTTATTTGCAACAGCGTTTCTAGTTGTGTTGCTGCAATTGTCAGAAAAACAACAGTTAAACTAGAAGTTTAGAATTTAAAAAATCGAAACATTGCCCTATCCAAAAAGGCGAGCGTTCGAGCCAACACAACATCATTTTGCTGCTGTAGTCAGCAATGGGTTTTTCAGTGGAGCAATGTAAAAACTGTAACATGAACAAAGTCTACCCCAAAATATTTTAAAATTACTAGAAGCAAAATTGCCTTAAGAATATTCTTGGCTTCTGAGATGAAGTTTGTGCCCGGGACAGTCATAAGGCTTTTTTTCATTGACAGGAAAAGGATGTATTTTTATATTTGTCTCTTTTTTTTTTTTTTAAACCAGTTTAACGAGTGCTATGTGCAATGAAGTTTCATCTTTATCAAAGAAGTTTTCCGATACTTTAACAGCAGCTGGGGTAAGATAACAGCATTTTATGTAGCATTTGGACTTTTTTTAACATAGTTCACTTCCTGAAACAGAAATTAATACACAAGTCCGGTGACTTTACGTGAGGTACCAGCAAAGCGGGCACTTCTTCCCTCAGACCAAGAACACAGAGCATTTTTGCAGCACGTTCCCTGTTGCAGGGGAAGTTTATAAGCTGCTCTAGGTGAACCTGCTTTAGCAGGGGGGTTGGACTAGATGATCTCCGGAGGTCCCTTCCAACCCTTGCTATTCTGTGATTCTGTGTGATTCTGTGATAGAATGCAGTGTGTCTCCTGCCTTCTAAAATCTCTTTCTAGACACCATTTCCCATTTTTCCTGATCACTACTCAGCGCTTCTTATCTTCTCGTACTGAAAGAGCCTTACAATTCAAGTCCCACAACTTGACGATATTTTCTTCTACTCAGCCTATCACTTTTGAAAGCATTTGTGTAAAAGTCATTAACAGATAACACTTCCAGTACCTTAATATGGTTTCATGAGCTGTCTTCTTAGCCTTTGCTAAATCCCCTGGCATAGGGCCACTGTATTTTCAACAGGTTTAAGAGATTAGAAAATCTGTTTTGTCATCCATCTTAAAAAAAATCACTTTATCTTGTGTATCAGGATATTCCCTTTAGGAACATCCATTTATTTGTGAACACCTTTGCTAGAAATAGTATCCTGCCTTTCAAGGTGTTTCAAAGATGACTGACATCTGAGTATTCTAGGAGGTTCTAGAGGCAAAAATTGTGCTGTTGCTGAAATCGTTCTGTAAACGTCAGAGGAGAACAAACTCTGGCTCTCCTGATTACTCCATGAAAACATGAATGTACATCAAAGGAAATTTTTCCAGTTCTCCTGTGAGCTCTTCCAGCACATCTCTGAGCAAGTTTTTTCAGTTATTTGCAGAGAACATGATTTATTGGGTTTGCTTTTATTCTGAATAATTTATATTCCTTCTCATTACTCTAGGAGAAACTGGTTATTTTGCATTTTGGGATTGTATTTTAGCATATCTTTGTGTGACACTTGCAATAAATACATGCACAGATGTATAAAAAAAAATTGCACATGAAATATTAAGCTGGCCCAGCTCAGAAAATTTTAACCTAAAGCTTTCATAAGCATTGTACTAGGTTTTGTTCTTATCAACTCTGTACTCAGTTTTTTGGTCCAGACTGTTTCTCTGGACATTTGTGTGGACACATAAGAAATTGAGCACAAAGACACTTCCCACTGTCAAAATACTATGTAGAAGAGAGTTTTAGTAGGGCAGTCTGGTGATCTTTGTGTGCTGTCCCATCCCTGAAAGCTT